TTAAATTTAATAAAAAAATAATTAATATTTTGTGACGAATTTCTTCATCCTTCCTATATATAAAAAAAACACAAACAGGGTTCTAAGAGAGGCAGGAAGTTGAAGGTTAATGGGCAAGATTTTCTCCTTTGCACTATCTTCGAGGTCTATACCATAGTAATTTCCATTTTCCCTGTGATAAATTATTTTATTTTGACAGAATAAATATAAGCCTTTTCCGTTACTCATGGCACCATCTCTCCTTTTGCCTAGAGTCTTGACCGACAGAGCTGGCTATTGGTGGGGGCTGGCTATCACTGATAAAAGAATTAGGAAAGCTGTGGATGTTATGCTAATAAATAATATCAACTCAGAAGAACCATTATATGGTATTCCAAATTTTCAAAGCAACTCCAGTGGATTAGCTGCTGCTCCTGAGACCAAGTCAACCATCCCACGGGAAAAGGCCATGTTTTGCCTTAAAATTTTAAGCACAACTCCTTAACCTGCAATCCAGGGTCAAACCCCACCTCACCATCCTTTGATTGGTACAGAATGTTCATAACAAGCTGTAAAGGTAACTCCTTTAACACATGAATCTATGATCAATTCTTTAAACTTATATATATATATATATATAATAAATATAAATAAATCTCAATTATTAAAAATAAAAAAATAAATAATTAAAATTTTATATAAATTTAATGTGTAAAACTTAAATTTAAATAAATCATTATATATATATATATGAAACGAAGTCCTTCTGGGGAATCTAACTCCTCAAACCATCAATATGCATTTCATTACGGCATATAAGTTGACTGGCAGATATGTGCTAGTTAAGCATGTCAAAATTGGTAAAGAAATCATAACATTAAGTTAGAACTTAAAAAAAGTCAAACTCACTTGTTAAAGAAAGAAGCAAATGAATATATGAGAAAAAAAAATCAGGAATTTTGACAGAAAGGACTTTTGTATGCCAAATATTTTCCAGGAAAAAAAAAAAGGCACATGCATTCACAGTTTTGCTAATGAATAACGATAGTACAGGTATAACTGGGGATTGCTTGCATGCATCCAGTTATCGGTAACACAATCTTCTAACTTCTGAAGTAGGCAATCTTACCACCCAAAAATTAGTAGCCATTTATCTGAGGTCTTGAGGTTGGACCCATAAGGCGAGAAAAAGGAATTTGGGTCCTGCCAGGGAGGCCTCTTGACCCACAATATCGTTCATCTGTCTCAGATCTTGATTTTGAGAAGGCTTGAGCAAGCTCCACAGCTGAAGCTGCTTTTCCATAACGCAGGCCAGTAGTATCAGGAGAGGCTGGTCTAGGCTCCTCAACAGGCTTGCGCCAGGTCTCAGGTGACAGTTGCCTCTCCTGCTGCTGTTGCTGCCTCTCAGTCTCCCGTACATTCCTCCGGTTTTCATTACGCCAGTTCTTCCTCTGCATATCAACTCTTTCAACATCCATCCGATGATTCATCTCAGATTTCCTTCCAGTTCTCTGATCATAAGGAAGCTTCTCAGTTTTTTCACCACGTTGATATACAGCTGCTTGCTCAGGAACTTTCTCAACCTTGGGACCATCATGTTTGACTCTTCATGTAACAAATAAGATAAACATTGAAGCTTTAAAATGTCAATCGGCCAACATCACACCTCCAAACAACAACAGATTTTTTTTTTTTTAAAAAAAAAAAAAAAATGAAGAAAAGGAGGTTTTGGAAAAAATGAGAATAGACAGTTCCACCAAAAGTAAGGGTGGAAAGTAATTTTCCTAAGAAAAAGGAAATAAAGAAAATAATGATAGAAAAACATGAGATATGAAAGAAAATTGGCATTACCTATCATGATGCTGACCTGACCCATGGTTGCTGAAAGAAACATCATCAATCCCCCTCTCTTTCAGAACCTGAGAAGAAGATCACCAAGTGTCAAGCTTCAGGCATAGAATCATCAATTCAAGAGTTGAAAAAAGAAAAGGGATATACTAACAAAATTGAGAAAATATATTTAAAAACTTAACAGAAACTGAGCAAATAAACATAGCAATGTCAGATGAGATAATAATGAACACATTGAGAATTTTTATTTCTTATTTCAGCTATCAATGACAGAAAAGTTCAATGTGAAATAGACTCACTTACCATTTCACGTGGACGAGCACCACCAAACAACAAATTTCTGCATCAGAAACAGGTAATTAAGTTAGTTATTGACATGAAAACAAAACAACGGGATGGTGAAGTTCAAGGAAAAACAACATAAGACCAATTCTATATTGCTTCCAACTAAACTGCAAGATTATAAGCCCAGCCCTGAATACAATTACAATATTCCTTCTCCAACTGACTGGTTACTCTGAGTTAGGGTATGATTGGTTTTCAGGTCACTTGGCAATATAACCACAACTAAATGATAAAATATGGTTCAATAAACACAAAAAGATAGATATTAGCTAAGCTTTTCAATAAAAAAAACTGTGCAGGTCCACGAGCCAATAAAACTAGTCTATGACCAAATCACAAGTTAGACCTAAATTCATGTTATAAAAAATGAGTCTTGCATACAACTTGCAAACAGTAACCGGTAATGGACCAACTTAGGAACACTCCTTGCCATATGACATACTGCAAGCAAAAATTACCACTTTCCACCATTATACTGCTCTTTAGTTCCTTTAATCATTTTCTAGTGGTTTGGTTGCTTCTAATTATTTAAGATGAATTTGATTCACATAAGGAGCTTCAGAAGGAAATGTATAATCAGATTCAGTGAATCCACAATGAAAACCAGTGCTTATATGCGTGAGTTCACAAATAAACTTGAGTTGCCTCTTAAATTCAAAATTTACTTCATCCAAAATTCACTTCTGCACAATTTTATGAGACTCCAACATTCTCTTAATTATCTTGTGCTTCAGCCAAAAAAGAATTACCTCTTAATTCGCAAGCAAGTTTATAACAGTCTTACTTTTTCTCCTTGTAAGTTGTTGATTTATTTACTTATTTTTGTGAAATAAAAGAATCCCAAACTACAAAATTCTGTAGACTAATCATAACATATGAAAGCACTTCACATCATTTATTTTCATACATTCTTCATTTATGAAGTAGTAAGTTACTTTGTTAGGTGTGATGGGGGAGAATGAAGAAGCCAGAAGAGGTGCACCAAAAGTACAGAAGAGTTATACACAAGACTAACATACAAAGTATACAAACTCTAAATTTCAGGTTATCAACTAGAGAAGGAATTTCAGTCCAAGGAGGCAGCAATGACATAACAAGCATCATATGGCAAGCATCATTAAAATCACATTCTCAAGAAAAAAAATGAATGCAAACAATTTTTGACCGCTCATTCTTTTATCAACTAGGGATAAGAAAAACCTTTAAAGCCCTACTAGCTTTCTATCGGTCAAGTTCAGTAATTCCAACGAGAAATGATTATCTTAGGCAGACTAAATATTCAAACTTAGATTTTGCATAACTGTCTTAATGTAAGGTCTAAATGATAATACGCTAACCTTTCCTTTTTGACATTCCCCTCCAATTGTTCAATAGTTTGTGATCGCGGCTTCAAATTCAGCCTTGGGCGATCCATTGCCTGGTTCACACTCTCACTGCCAGATGAACCTGGTTTTGCAGGGTTTCCCTGTGAATCATTACCAGTTTCTGCATGGCTAAGAACAGAGTCACTCAGCCGCTGCTGGACCTGTATTCATGCAGATCATCAAAATGAAGGGAAACTTAAAGCAGTGCAAACTTACATAGAATGGTGTCACTTAAATACCTGCTTAGGATCAATAATAGGGGACTCTAAATTATCCAATGGCTTGGTTCGTGGGAGTAATCTCAACTTAGGACGTTCTGATGCTTCAGATGGGACCAAATGCTGCACTTCAGAGGCACCAAATTTGCCATCCAAGCGAGCTGGCTGAGCTCCTTCACCATGAGCCTCCAATTCCCTCTCCTTAACTTCCAAATAACTCGGATTACAACTCCTCTCATAGTCCAGCAATTCCTTTCCACTAACCTGCTTCCAATCCACAATGTTCATACTCCTATCCACATCCCTTGTCACCATTGTATCAGAATATTCCCTCCCACTGTACCTATTATCATCATAACCCTTGGACTGAAAACTATTTTCTTCAGAATACTTAATAATCTCATCATCTTTCTGATAATGAACAGACTGATTTGACTGCCACCTGCCAGAAGAGACCTTTTCAAGTGCACTCGCATGAGCCAACTTGGACACAGCACTTTGTTCAGACCAAGCAGATTGCACTTGCTCAGTTGCACTCATCACCACCTCCTTCCTTGTTGTCCATGCATTTGGATAGGACCCAGAAACAGCCTGCCCAGCATTGCCAACGGAATTCTGAGAGCTCACACCAATCTGATTAGCCCCAGTTACTCTACCGGAGTTGGAATTCACAGCTCCGCCAGTCATTGGTGACACTGGAGCTGAACCATTTCGACTTGACCCCTTCCCAATAGACAAAGACTCAACACGACTAGCTGGAACCCGAAAGCTCTCATCACTAACTGTTCTCCGAGGAGCTGAACCCCCTTCCAATGGCTTCCGTTCATCCTCATCAAAGTTACGACCAATATGTGCTGTGTGAGTCAAAAATGGAGTTTTATCATCAAAATGCCTAATTGCCGGTGACGAGTTTGGCCGGGCCCTGTGATCCGACCGCCCAATCGGATTCCCCCAGGAGGTTGCCCTATCATAACCAGAACGATCCGTAGGCCTGACAATTCTGCACCCAAGACACAGATAACAAAAATATATTAACTAGGGTTTTCACTAGCAGATCCAATACTTTCAATTGCCATACTTTCGGAAGCAACAAATTCAATTTCAAGAATCAGATCTAATCCCAAAGCAATAACAAAAAAATTCTGGATTAGACCCAGAAGCAAAAATATTGAAAACAAAATAAAAAAAGAACTTTGGATTGAAAAAAAAAGAAAAAAAAAAAGAGAAAGAAATTGGGAATTACCCGCCCGGAGCAGAAGGTAGGGGAAGATCGCTTGGGATGGAGCCGCCATGGAAGTCCTTGAGGGTCATGGTATTGCCGCTGAAAGCTTTCTTCTTCGACATTCTCTTGAGAAATCTCTCGCTTTCTCTCCCCTCTGGATTGCCCACGAAGCCAAAAAACAGTGAACCCAAAAGAGATGGGAGGAAGAAGAGCAACCCCCAATTCCTGAAAGCGAAAATAGAAGTGAAAAAAATCGCAAAAAAAAAAAAAAAAAAAAAGAAAAAAAAAATACTAGAGAAGAAATTCGAAGCTCTGGGGGTTGCCTCTCCGCTCACGGCCGCTCAGCTGCTCTTCTATTGGGCGAATAGCTTCTCGGTCCTGTTCTTGGCCGTACTGTACCGTTCCTAAGTTCCAAGAATGAAATCATCACATTGGACTACTTCTTCTCGTTGGGCTTAATTCTGAGATTGGGCCTGGCCTATATCAGGTTGAACCAATATGAGTCCAATGACTTATCTAAATGTGCAATGGGCTTAGTTATGTAAAAAACCAGAAATTCAATTCCTAACCCACAAGCTTGAAACCTTAAGTCAATTTTAACTTGGTGCTTGAAACTAGAAATTTTGGGCATTTGAGAAGGGATTGAGGGGAACGAATATCCTTCTATTTCCTTTGCCTTGCCTTCTCTTTAACTCTTTTTTTAATAATTAAAAAAAAATTTCTCTTATTTTTTAACTCCACATCCCTCCCCTTTTTTACTTTTCTCTTCTTTTCTTTTCAAAATAAATATATTCTGTTTGAGTTACACAAGAGTAAAATTTTTGTCATTTTTATTCGATATATTAAATTAAATTCATGTATTAAGGTAAAAGGGACAAAATTTTTATCAAAATTGTTACATTAAAGTAAATTGTCACTAAAAAAATATTAACTTAATTTGTCATTCTAAACTTTTATTTTTAAAAAATCCACTTAAATTTAATGATTATTAGTTTTGAACCCGGCCCGGTGGCTGACCCGTTTTGGCCAGCGGGTCTGGTTCAACCGGTTGAATCGGTTCACCCGATCGGTTCAACCGGTTGACTAAAAAACATTTTTTTTTTACATTTTTTCACATTTTCTGCGGCTTCTGTTCAGTAATGAAGGGGGGCAAAATCAGTTTGGTCTGGTGAAGGAGAGGAAGATGGGTGGCGGAGCTGCCGAGATCTGAGCAAAATCAGGGACGATCTGTTATGCTTTGTTGCTTCTGTTTGGTCCGGTGAAGGAGAGGAAGATGAGTAGCCGGGATGTGAGCTTTATCAGGAGCTGTCAACGGAAGTGGAGCAATGGTGAGCTGCCGACGAAGGTGCAGGGAAATCGGGTTGCTTTGTTGCTTCTGTTCAACGGTGGAGATGACTAGATGAGGCGGTGACTGGTGGTGAGATCTTGACGGAAGTGGTGCAGAGATCAGGTTGCTTTGTCGGAGGTGATGAGGCGGTGATTGGTGTGGTGAGATGCCGGTGGAGTCATGGCACGGAGATGGAGCAGGGATGAAGGAGAGGGATGGCCGGTGGATGATGTGTTTCTCCAACTTTCTAATTCTATTTTTTCCATGTGTTTTTACAAAATGTTACTTTTGATTAGGGTCTTTAGATTTAATTTTAGTTTAAATTTAAGATTTTTTAATATAATATCATTAAAAAAAAGTAAAATAAGTAAATTACATAAAATAAAAAAAAAGGGTTAATCAAGGCATCAATTATTCTGCCCGGCAGGTGGGACAGGCTGGGCATTTGGAGCGGGTCCAACGAGTCTAGCGGGCTAACACGGGCCAATTTGCAAAACGGGCCAGTGCATGAAACCGGCCCGTTTTTAAGTCCGGGTCCGGTTCAACCGGTTCAACCG